GCCTTTAAAAGCACACAATTCCTCTATTCGCTCCGATGAAGGGCTAACGCTCGAAACGTCAGCTTTTGTAATCGTTACGGTGGCCAATTTACCATTTCAACTTTGCTGATATAATTATAACAAATCACATGTTTACTACCTGACTGCGGAATTCTTGTATTGTCCTTCCACCCTCGATGAAGTTCTCAAAAAACTCAGATTTCTTTTGAAGTTGTGCAGATGTTAGGAGTCGTAAATACACAACTATATAATTTGAAAGTCCTTCATCTTGAAATGTCTGAGTAGGTGTCAATACACAAAACTCAATTCAATAGGAATACAAACATTGGCACATAACATTATATCAACTGGCATGATAGTAATTGATAGTAATTGAAGTGACTTACAGATTAATTAAAGATATAACATGAGAAGTAACAGGTTGTATTGGCAGAAATTAATACCTTGAGGAAACAATCACTCACTTCCTCTGAGATTTTCCATTTTACAATTTTTTCAAGCTCTAAGTGCATGCATCTTTAGTGAAACCTGCATTTGTTTTTTTTCCTCCTTTTATTAAAGTATAGTAGAACCCTGCTGACTCCCCAGAGAGATGTAAGCTGGTATACGATAGCAGGGGTAGAATTTCAATTATCCTGTTTAGATGATGTATAATTAATCATATGTTTTTACCATTCTTGCACATGATTACTTTAATTTGTACATTAGCTTTTTAAACAGAGCTTAGAAAGTTCAGTTGGGGAAGTTAAACTAGATGTATAATGTTTTCATAAATGTGAAAGTGTAATGTGATTTTCCGGGTGAGTGTAGTCCTGAGAAGGACTGTTGTCAGTGGTGGTGACTGACATGATAACAACAACCTGTGTGAAAGTCATCATCAGATTCAAGTGAATAGTTGTTATCAGTAGAATGTTCTTAGTCCAGTTCATGTAAAATGATTGGTCCGTTTTGCTGTGATGTTATTAGCTGTAAGACTTAAGTGGCATACGTCGGTTGTGATTGGTCTGTTTTGATCTGTTGGTAAAGTTAGGTCATTCTGTTTGGTTTGCATGAGTCTTTTGTATGGAGCTGGTAGTGAATAGACACCTGGTAGTGAATTGACACCTGTTTAGGGGAGTCCGTTCTAAGTCAGTAAACCAGCTTTCCAGAGTCAGTTGTTGAAAGTAGTTAGTGCTGTAGGTTAGGCATTGTACAGAGTCCCAGTCAATACTGTAGTTCGTAAGTCGATGATGTTTAGCAATGTGATTGTTGACATCACGTTTCCTCGTCACCCATCAGTGTTCAATCATTCTTGTTGCGAGGTTTCTGCCACTCTCTCCAATGTAAGAGGCTAGGCAGTCAGAGCAATAGAGCTCATAAATCGCTCCCTGTCTGTTCCTTGGTTCGTCCTTGTCTTTAATGTTGGTTAGTAACTGACGTAGTGCAGTGATGGGTTTTGTGGGCAACGTGGATATTGAAGGGTTGTAAGATGTGCAACATATTCTCAGACATGCCTTTTAGGTACGGTATGGCTGCTGTAGTTGTAAGAGTTGCAGTGTTGTTTGTTTCAGTAGTAGCAGTAGGTTGGTGAGTGTTTCGTAGGGTGAAATCGTTGTTGTAGTTGTTCTTTGAAAAAACACAGTGAAGGTATTGTTCTTGTCAGATAACCTGTCTGTTCTGTTGCATACTGGTTGCATATAATTATTGTGTTAGAGTTCTGATAGTTGTGGCTTTGTGTGATGTAGGGTTGTAGGATGACTTGTCTAGTAATCTGTCGGTGTGTGTCGGTTTCCTGTAAACTGTTGTCCATAGTGAGTTGTTGTCATGGCTTACCAGGAAGTCTAGAAAAGGAAGTTTGCCATTTTCTTTGACTTCTCTGCTTAACTGTATGTCAGTGTTTTGTCCATTAAGGTGATGGTGGAATGTGTCAATGTCATTGCGCCATACGGCAGTGAACGTGTTGTCAACGTAGCGTAACCAAACAAGCACCATTTGTGGCAAGTCGAAAGGGCGCATTCCTCTTGTTTTACATCACAATTTCTGCTACAACAACAGAAACTGGAGACCCCATGGCTGTGCCATGTAACTGTTTGTACTGTTTACCGTTGTACTGAAAGTAAGTTGACGTTAGGCAAAGATTCAGTAAGTCCATAATGTCATCTGTCAGTAGAGGTAGTGGGTTGGTGAATTGTTGGGTTGCAGTCTTGGTACTTTGTAGTGCCAATTGAAGTGGAATACTTGTAAACAGTGATTTCACATCAAATGACGCTAGTTTGTAGTCGCACAGTCTTGGTAGCATTTATGAAGTCCTCAGTGGATTGTAGGTTACATCTGGGTTTGTCAGTCAGTGGTTGTAGTATTGTTGTCAGGTATTTGCCTGGATAGTTGGTATGTAGGAGAACCACAAAAAGAAACAATAGGTTGCATCAGGAAACCCAATTTGTGTAGTTTTGCAAACCATAGAGTTTTAGTGGCTACTGAGCACCTTAGTCAATAGTACCGTTGGGTGTCACGACCAACTCACACCACTGAAGCCTTGCGGCCAATAACATCATGGCAAAACAGACCAATCATATTACACGAACTGGACTAAGAACATTCTACTGACAACAACTATTCACTTGACTCTGATGATGACTTCCACACAGGTTGTCTAAATGTCAGTCACCACCACCAACAACAGTCCTTCTCAGGACTACACTCACCTGGACAATCACACTACACTTTCACATGTTACTCCCCGGTTCAAACCATCTACTGCGTTTTCATAAATGTCATCACATTCATATCAATTGCAATTAAGGGTTGGGATATGTCAATTTGCACTTTAACGTTTATTGACCAACATTTTTTAAATTAAAAATTCATATTTTAAGGGAAAAATTTGAGCCAAGGGAAGGTAAAATTGGTTTGAGTTAACAGGGAATTTGAGTGGACAGAGTTTGAGTTAGCTGATGGTAAATGACTGGAAAAAATGGGTTCAAATCCAAGGGAAATCAGAAGTTAGTGTGGGGTTTGAGTTAGAGGGGCTTTACTGTATAAACCAAGCATTTTACTAATAAATCTATCCATTTAACTCCCAGAAGTGATTCACCTGTAACTTTCCCCTACATCATTCACACATTATCCAACAAACACGAAATGAGAATATTCAAACGTATCAAACAGAAGTTGTTTTCTTGATCTACCACTACATTCTCAAAAAGTTTCTTAAAATGATGCGTAGCAGCTACATGTAGAAGGCAGAATTAACAATCAGATCTTGGAGTTAAAGGGTAACAGGCTTGATGTGATACTAATATGATGTTAATATGATGTTTATTCAAACCTTTTGCAGAGAGCTGAATTACAGGTTCGTTACAATGAGATGTTGTTAAGGTTGAGAACAGATGTCGGCATTTTCTCAGGGGCCTCTGGCAGCCGCTTCAGTCCATATCGATCTCACCTTCCCACCCATCACACCCCAGGGGAGGACATCCATCACACAGTAATCTCGTGTGTGGGAAATTAATGTCTCCTACCCCAACCCTGCAGGAGACGGGACCTCCATTTATTCGTCCCTATCCGAGAAGACTAGAATATCCATTTTCTTGATGTTATAGAAAGGTAGCAAATTCTTCTCAATTATTTTAAGACCTTGAGTGTTGGTCCAGCTGGGGCTCGAGCCCTCTACCTCCCACACAACAGTCCAGTGCACTATCCAATGGGCTAACTGGACGGCGGTGGTGTGTGTGTGTGTAGTTGTTTGGTAGAACATTTGAGATAATCATGTTATGAGAATTTTTACCTGTAATAATCCTTCAACAGACTGACTTTTTCCAACAGTTTCAATTGTTTCCATAAACTAAAATGAGAAAAATAGCACAGTTTCATATTTTTGTATCTAAATTAAACTTAATAGTGAGTGAAACAAAATAAGTATAGGAAAAATGGTTTTGAAGGGTGCAACATCTGTTAGGCACTAGTAAAGAAAAACCAATATAACAGCAACTACAAGAAGCAAAAAAAAAAAAACAAAAACAAAAGCCAATGTAGGATACCGGTTGCCCGAATCAAAACAGCAGCACAGAGGAAGGTTATTGTTCTCACCAATGTACCATTTCCAGCCCACTATGGCCTCAAGACACAGCCTAATTCACTTGTATTTCAGAATCTTGAAACATAAAATTCAAAGACATGACAGATGAAGAAACTTACAATTTGATGAAAGTCCTCTATTGTAAATGAAGGGAATCCCATAGAAACAAGTTCATCTTTACTTTGTGAGGCTAGTGTTTTAAATCTGTTTTCAAGGGAATTTTGAAAAATACAACATTAATGGATATGGAACCTGTTAGCCTTGGATTTGCAATATGTGATTGTTGGATGAAGTAGTGGGCCTTTGAATTATATCAAAATGTACCTTATTTCATAAATATCCGCATTTTCATTGAGAAATGAGGTAGTGGGAGGATAATTATACGATAAAGTAACAAGGAGACAGAATATTCTCCACATCAAAGAAAAAAAAGTAAAGGTTAATGAGGAGTACATGTAGATCACTTCACCCAGGCCAGAAGTGTAAATGGGTGTTTGGCAAACTGTCGAGGAAACCCAAGGAGGAAGGGGCAGGAAGGAACATCATGCTTATCCATGAGAGGCAGCTGCAAAAATTGGCATTAAAAAATTGGCAGAAACTCTGGCAGCAATTAGTATTAAGCTATACCTGGATTTTGCAGCCTTTTTAAAATTTTTTTAATTTTTCCAATTTCTGTAGTATGAAGTACTAGTAATAAATGTTATGGTTAACTAAAGGTAAAATAGACTGGTTTCAAAAACATTCCTGGATGAATCTTGACAACCAAATTCATTTATGATCTTGTTCAAAAGGAAAACTTGACCACAGTGGTAGTGAGTGAAAAGAAATAGAGTCTTCATCAGTACATAGTATGATATCATAATTGTTCCTCTAACAAGACTCAATCATCTTCAAAGTATGTCTTTTATATTCCCAATGGGATTGATTACCTGTCGTATTCTACTTGATTGCCAATCAGTTCCTCAAAGTAGGCAAATCCAAAGGCTCTATAGAAGCAATTACCATCACCTCTAGTCTTCCGCACCTGTGAGTAATTCAAGCTTAGGTCCTACAGGAGGAAAGCAAAATTTACATAAAACAATGGTCCTAACAGGAATACATGTCACAAATTGAAAGGTTTGGGGCACCAATACCGTCAGCAATACTCCAGTCCTATTCATTATAATTATGAGAAGCAGAGGTTTTGTCTGATTCCTCTTGATTTAAGTGTGGCAGCTGCTCTCTATACCATTTCAGAGGAGGAGAATGCTGAATGAAGGGCTCATCACTTTACCATAACTACCTCTCTTGGTGAATTTAGTATTTTGACAAGGAGCTGTTTCAGGACATCAATTTCTATGTTCTCAACTTGTTAGGACTATCAGGTTGTCCTATAAGTGACTTTCAGTCTCACCCCATTGACTTTCAATGAGTTTTACTAGACTTTCTCATAAGTATTTAGACTCTTTTGGTATCATAAAAATCTCTTATCATTTTCCACAACTGTTTCCTGGATGGTCTGAATTTTTCTGCGACCTTCCATAGTGAAGATATAGTTTCAGGAAAATGCAATAACCCCCATTTATTATATGGCTGTGTCTCACAAGGACTGGGACCTACCGAATTCACGAATTTGAATGGCTGAAATCAATACTGAAAGCGGTCTAGATTTTCCCATCTAGACCGGCATCTAGACCAGTCTAGAAAAAATAGGTACAAAGAATATAAAAAATTGGCATATAAGACACAGCCATAATTATAATAAACATCTTATTAACCGAGCTAGGTCAGTCTGTAGGGGAGAATCTTAACCTTGGTTGCTGGTACAGACCTCACTGCATTCGGTCTGTACTGGCGACCTCGGAACAGATTCTCCCATACAGACCTCCCGCTCGGTTAATAAGAAGTAATGATGAAATTGCATATTGCTTGCTACTAAAAATATCTTCTTTAGTCATTTCTGACTTTCATATCCAAATTTCCAGGTTATCAGTTATCTAAAAGGTATCAAAGACTAGCAATTTATCTACAAGCCGAAGGCAAAGCTGAAGAACCATTAGATTCACCCTAGCCTCAAAAACCATAGATTTCAATTAGTCTTTTGAGTACCAGTTAGCATAATGCAAAATCATATCTTTATACTTTTGATTACCTTTATTTTTGTCTGATATACAAAATCATCCATGGCATATTCCTTTTGTAAACAGGTGATATCTAGTTTCTCACTGATAAGTGGTTGAATTTCTGCTATCTAGACAGGAAAAGAAGAAAAATTGTTTGAATCAATGAATGTGATTTGTTTTTTTTAGGCAGGATGGCTCTGAATACTAGGGAATCCCAGTAAAGAATCTCATTCCCCCACTCCCCCAAAGAGCTAAGGATGGCTTTGAGCAGGCTTAAACACCCTGATTATTTGAGTCCTATGAGGCATTCCTTCATAGTCAAGATCCTTTGGTACAGCTGTCTGGAAACTTAAGCTTTATATAAAAATCCTAAGCAGTGATATGTACATATTGACAGTTGAAAGATTAATTATCATCACTGATAAAAAAAAAACAATGGCTGATGTGAAGAGGCAATGGGAAAGCATGTTTAAGAAATTAATTTGGGGTGTCTCTAGAGAAGATTAAAGTGTTCAAGGCCTGATCTTTTCTCAACAAGTTTTGTGCCTAATTGAAGGTAAAACAAGTAATACCTCTTTTTGAATGTTGTCAACTTGGGCCATAATGGCTTCATCATAGTTAGCTGCAACTAAAAGAGCAAACAATAGAAATTATAATATGACCCTAAAGTGAAATACTAATTAAAAGGACAAACATGTTGCAAAGACATGCAAATGTGTAACTCCCTCTATATCACACACAAAAAAAATGATTATCTTAAGGGAAGGGATGATAAATACTTAAACTTTGATGAACAAAATGGTGAATGTACCCGTTTGAAAATCTGAGGCAGAGAATAAAAAAAAACTCCTTTGAATTGTTAGGTTACTTAGACTGTCACAGTAAACTCAATAAAATTTTGTATTTGACTTTCAAATCTTAAAATTTTGTGTTTGACTTTCAAATCTTAATATTTTCAAACGAAATTGATCATACTCAGAGTTTTCTCACTCACAACAGTAACTGATATGATCTATTGATTGAACACAAATCTCTCCTTTTATTGTTGTTTTATCGATTATAAAAATCATTTCATTTCATGTCATTTCTTTTTTCTTGACATTTATTCTCTGTTTTATCTTTTTAAAACCTTGGTTGTTTACTTCCTCCATTGCATTTTTGAAGCTATAGTTTCTTCTAATAGCTACTCTACTTAATTCAACTCCAGTGATAGGGGATTTCCTTTGTTGTTTGCTGCATTCAGCACAAGGGGCTACTACAGGTAATAGGACTTTGTGAGAGTGAGTTATTTAATGCTGATCTTGAATCAAATGCTGTTAGTTGTTGACCATGTATTACTTGACTTCTAACATTATATCATTATTATACCTTAACCAAAATTTGAAGGGCATAAATTGCTTATCTTCGATTCGCGCCACTTTCCTGTTGTGAAAGTCGTCATCTAAAAATTCTTAATGATAAATTTGCTCGTCACTAGAAAGTTTAAAATAAAAATCCAAATACAATTCTCTTGTTTTTGATAAAATTCCCTTTTCCCTAAATTTGAGACAAGGGCGCACTTTCCGTCACGAGACAAAAAAAGTTTGATCAGGAGAGAGCATCAATAGTAGCTCTAACTTTAAAAATCTTGATATTACCTGGATGTATTTTGAAACTTTAGTGAAAACTCCAGACACTGAAAAATGTTTTAGACTTTTTATCAATCAGACTGTTATGTACACAGACACCCGAATAAAAAACGCTCCGATTATGAGACTAGCTCAGGATATAACATAGTGACAGATGATATCGATAATCGATTTCATCTGTGATAATGAATACCTTTTCACTAGAGATTTAATAAAACACCAAATGACAAAGAAATAATGCATGATATTGTATGATGAGTAAAGGTGGATTTTTCAATGCACTATCTGCCATACCACACCGCTTGCATATAAACACAAAGCGGAAAAAGAACACCAAAACTCACTTCCTTACCATTGGAGTGCTCCGCCATGTTTCGTTGACTTGCTTGGTAACCACGCAGACGTGTCCCATTTCAACTTTCGAAGAACTTCCTGCAACAAATTAACCCTGCCTTAACTTTCATTTCACGAGAGCCGTTTGTATTCGCCTTTTTATGAGAAAATGTGTGTAGATGAAGAATATACGTTTCAAAAATTCTGCCTATAGGAAAAAATTCAATTAGAGATTTGGTGCAGAGCTCCGAGGAGACGAAAAAAACGTCTCCAAAAATCAAGCACGAACCTAGATCACGCCATTTTTTTGAGGAGTCCGGTCGTTTCGATACAAAGTTGTTTCGATACAATTCGTTTCGATGCAAGTCGAAGTCGATTCGTTACACATGTTAAGTCGATACGATGCAAACTCACGTTACTTCAAGTCGTTTTGACACAGAATACTATACTATTTAACAATTATTCCACGAGCGCGCGTTGGATATGAGATGATAGATAATCATTCCATAGGTTGTACCGAGTTTCGCCCATAACGAGTTTCGCCCACATCGTTTCGCCCACATCGTTTCGCCCACATCGTTTCGCCCAGAAGTAGAAGTGACCGCCTCCCAGTTAGCTCAATGGATAGAGCGCTGGACTGTTGTGCGGGAGATCGAGGGTTTGAGCCCCGGCCGGACCAACACTCAAGGTCTTAAAACAAGTAAGAAGAATATGCTACCTTTCCATATCAAGAAATGGTTAGGTACTCTAGTCTTCTCGGATAGGGACGAATAAATGGAGGTCCCGTCTCCCGCAGGGTTAGGGGTAGGAGACGTTAATTTCTTACGCACGAGATTACTGTGTGATGGATGTCCTCCCCTGGGGTGGTTACTGGGTGGGAATTGGCCCTGAAAAGCCGCCATGGGGAGTGGTCAATTAACATATGTATGTATGTATGTATGTATGTGTGTGTGTGTGTGTGTGTGTGTGTGTGTGTGTGTGTGTGTGTGTGTGTATGTGATTAAATCTAGTCGGGTAATTTGGTTATATTAACTAAGTTGAAATTGTAAATTGGCCACCCTAACGCTCGAAACGTCAGTTTGTAACTTGTTACGGTGGTCAATTTACAATTTCAACTTAGTTGATATAACCAAATTACCTTGTTACCCCCACCGACGCAGCACCTTCTTTAGAAACTTTCGCACTAATGCATGAGTGCGCGTGAGTGGAATGGCTTAAGTTTTCTGATTCCGACAAAGCATGCGGTATGAAAGTTGTAACTAAACAGAAATTACTGTCTTGCAAATATATCTCTCCCTTTCACTTGTCAATAGAATTTGAAAGCAATTGCGCGTGCAACAAGGAAAATGGTTTCGCCCAGAAGTAGGCCTACAGTGTAATTCGAAAAACGTTAACCTAAACATGCGTATGCCCAGAACGAACGTTATGAAATGCCGTGAATAACGTGACTTTTCCAGTGACACCATAAAAATGTTGAAACAAACAGGTTGCCTCTTTCACTGAGAATCAAGCGGGGATTGGAGAGGTGCATATGCCCAGACGAACGCTGTGAAATGCTGTGAATAATGTGACTTTTCCTGACACCACAAAAAATATTGAAGCAAACAAGTTGTCCTATCACTGAGAATCAAGCGGGGATTGGAGAGGTAATTCGAGCACGAAATACAAAAGAGCCGTTTTTTATCGGTAGCACGTACTCTCTAATGCATGAGTGCGCGTAGGTGGAATGGCTTAAGTTTTCTGATTCCGACAAAGCAGCGGTATGAAAGTTCTAACTAAAAAGAAATTACCGTCGTGCAAATATATCTCACCCTTTCACTTGTCAATAAGGTTTCAAAACAATTGCGTATTTAAATGTAATTTAAATATGAATAAGAACAATGCATAATTACACTGTGTTGCTTGTGAATAGACGCGTGGTCGTAATTACAATTTGTTAACAAGTTTGATAAGATGTTTAAAGGCTGATAGTTTCGAAAGAAACTGTTTGAGGTTGCGTCGGTGGGGGTAACAAAATAATTTGGATATATCAACAAAGTTGAAATGGTAAATTGGCCACCGTAACGATTACAAAAGCTGACGTTTCGAGCGAAGCTCGGACGAAGGGGTAACGCTCGAAACGTAAGCTTTTGTAATCGTTACGGTGGCCAATTTACCATTTCAACTTTGTTGATATATCCAAATTATTTTGTTACCCCCACCGACGCAACCTCAAACAGTTTCTTTCGAAACTATCAGCCTTTAAACATCTTATCAAACTTGTTAACAAATTGTAATTACGACCACGCGTCTATTCACAAGCAACACAGTGTAATTATGCATTTTTCTTATTCATATTTAAATTACATTTAAATACGCAATTGTTTTGAAACCTTATTGACAAGTGAAAGGGTGAGATATATTTGCACGACGGTAATTTCTTTTTAGTTAGAACTTTCATACCGCTGCTTTGTCGGAATCAGAAAACTTAAGCCATTCCACCTACGCGCACTCATGCATTAGAGAGTACGTGCTACCGATAAAAAACGGCTCTTTTGTATTTCGTGCTCGAATTACCTCTCCAATCCCCGCTTGATTCTCAGTGATAGGACAACTTGTTTGCTTCAATATTTTTTGTGGTGTCAGGAAAAGTCACATTATTCACAGCATTTCACAGCGTTCGTCTGGGCATATGCACCTCTCCAATCCCCGCTTGATTCTCAGTGAAAGAGGCAACCTGTTTGTTTCAACATTTTTATGGTG